CCTCGGGCTTGAAAATGCTGTCCTCGGCCGAAGACCTCGGTCACAGCTTTTCACTATACGGACCTCCCAGTCGGTAAATAACATATATATATATATTTTTTCCTGTATTAAAAGAAAAGCGAAAGAAAACCCGTGTAAGTGCGTATGTTTAATCAGCAGTATCGTAAGTAATTTTTAGTGTTTTTCCGTTGGTAGTAATTGAAAAGTAAGGAAGCAGTCTAGCATAATTAAGTGCGTTGTAGAAAAATAAAATGTAGCTTGTATGTAGCTTACATGTTTATGCAATTTATCTGTAATAACAAAGAGCATTGTATGTAAGCCAACCGTAATTTAATTAGTGTGATTGTATTGTAATATATGTACTGTAACTAGTGCATGTATAAATAGTGTAAATATAAGTAGTGTAAGTAGCAAGTACAGTGTAAGTGTAAATCTTGACCGAGGGCGTGAGTACAGACCGAACACAGTGAGGTCTGTACACACGAGCAAGCAAGAGCAATTTAATTCATTCAATGTAACTGGTTTGTGCTAGCCGACATTTTGCTTGCGAACGGCGATGAGCTGAACTTAATTCTGCCGAAGTCTGCTCGTCCTTTTTACTTTCTTTTCTTTTCTTATCAGACTTTTTGGCATTGCCATAAATAAATATTGTTAGAAGAAAATAGACAACATTTTTGCATTAAAGTTTGCAACGTTTTCATCGCAAAACATTACCGGTCTAGATGCCGGTCTAGATGGGAAAATCTAGACCGCTTTCAATATCGATTTCAGCCAATCAAATTGTTGAATTCGGTAGTTCCCAGTCCTTGTGAGACACAGCCATATAATAAAAGTATAATGTTAGCACTGTAAGTAGTATATGTGTTCGTCCTGTAAATAAAATTGCATTCAAAAAATAAAAAAAAAAGGAAATATCTTTTATTGTCATTGTTACCCAGATTGTTTAATTTCGTAACTCTATTTCGCGAATGACTGGTAATACAAAACTACATACCATCAATGAGACGGTTTTTTTTATGTTACTTTTGCTTATTGCTTATCTGAATTTCATTCTTTTGAGTGTACTGGAAGCGTCCAAAGAGAGCGTCAGTTGCCTAATCTTGGCCGGGGGTTCGAGGGAGGAGGAGTGACTCTCCGTGCATTCTCTGAAATGGTGAATGCAGGCTGGTAGTCGCTTTTTCATTTGCAAATGTATAGTGTCAAACATGTTTTATAAGTTTATGATCCTGGCGATCGTCAGTTTAACGGAAAATGCTCTTTGTCGCTGCCGCAATCAACTTTTCAGGGCCAAACAGTGCACTGAAGTCGAGTTTAACAACCTTGTGACGTCACTGGCTGCATACACGAGAGAAAGCGCGTTACCACGCGCATTGCGAATTTTTTTTTTCATGGATCGAGGATGAAAATGCGTATAATGGCGCCTGGGCTGTCCATCTGAGTCACCAGATTCGCTACTTCTAGGCCCACCTGATATTTCTAGAGCTGGGAGTGATCTAAAGCTAACTTGACGGGGATTGTTTTAGAAATAAGACCTATATGAGGGTTTAACTCTCCCACCCAATATATTTTCTTGGGATGCGAGAACTGTGGTTGGAATAATAATGCTCGCGAACCACTGTGGCGAAATGCCTGGTAGTCTTTCCAAATTAATTTATATCAAGTTTTCGAGAATAAGAAATGTTTCATAGATTTTATTAAATGTGTAGTCTGATATTTTGTTTTTCTATTACAGCTACGTGGAATCAATTTGACGGAGTGGCGTACGTGTATGGCGAGAAAGGCATGCTTTCTAGAATGTGGGATTCAGTCTTCTCCAGGGATAAGACGGTTGATTATCGTACAAAGGCGTTGCTGTGTTTCCTGCCAAAATGGAAGGGCTTTGTTGTGAACAAGACAACTGAAAATATGAAAGCAACTGACGCGTTGGTGAAACTTGACAATGTTGTGAAATGCCTGTCTAACGTTTGGATAGAAGAAAAAGGGTACCATCGGAAAGTGCAACCCATCAATTTTGATGTCCCAGAGGTAGTTTGCTTGACGGAAGTATATCTTATTTGTACTTACTTTCGCGCGTCAAAAATCACCGAATTTAAATACGCGAAACTTAATTTACTACCACCATAATCAATTTTCAAATTCAAACAATTGCATAAAATAGGTGTTACCCAACACGAAAACGGTTTCCTTAACTGAAAGTTTCATTTCTACGGTTTGCCTAGCTATCCGCATTCTAATCAAATTCTTCCTCCAGTTCTTTTGGAATATCTTATAAGTACCGTCATCAAAATGACCATTAACCGGTTCCTTGTAGTTTTCACGTAAGGATATTGGCAAATGATACGAGAAGGCTGGTGCTGCCGATGTTGTCAGCGGAGAAACCAAATGGAAGATCTTTTTGAGGATCTGGATGATACTAATTTAATTAATGTACTAAAACTGCCACACACACGAATGACTGATTGTGTTTGTACCATAAGCGTATTTAAATGTTCCTGTTTGAGACACCTTATTACGGTATATTGATGATTCGTTAACTCTAGAAATTTTATGAAAATAAAGTCTTTGTCGACATATTTTCGCGATATGAAATGCTCTTTTTTCATTTAGTCTTCTTGAAATCGCGAAATTTAAACCTCGCGAAATATTGCTTAGCCGAAATCGCGAAATAAAGTACGCCCGATTTTAAATACGAATAAGGTATTAATTCCCTCTAACCAGTAGCGAAAACTTATGTTCTTTTGTTGTAGATTGAAAAGTGTTTTTCGTAGTTGTTGGATTTTATTGAATTTGCGCTTTTGGCGTTAGCGTTTCGACAATATGTTTTGGTGCTGTTGTTAGCGGCGCAGAATAATTCAGGGTTAAGTGTGTGCTTTATTCGGTAAGTAACGTAAATTACACGTTATGCAAAAAGGAATTACTCATTTATTTCAATTATTTTGCAGGCATTAACTGACCTTTTGAGACCAAAGATGGAGAAGAACATTACACTCTTAGCTGAAAGTGAAGTGGGATCAACTGAACACGTGTCTGCTGTAGTTTCTTCGCTTGTCATCATAGTGCTGGTGAAAAAGTACTCGATAGAATTAAAAAGAGATGAGGTAAAGTCATTGCTGAGCTGCTTATCACTTGAAGCTGATCCAAATGAGAGGAGATGTTCTGCTTATGAAGCGGTACTAGCCGAATTTAGCCCCGGGTTAAGAGAGTAAGTGATCTAGCAGTAAGGTGATTTGTAATGGGGAATGTTGTATTTGTTGTTGCTGTTTATAGTGGTCAATGCGCTTAGCTACACCTAGATAGTTCACAGGCATGCCACTTAAACTGATTGAAAGAAATGTTTCAACTAAACACAATAGGCTTAAAAATCCCAACTGGTGGGAGGCAGACCAGTTGGCTATTTACAAGCATGACCGAGGAGTTGAACAAGGGTCTACCGAGAAACAACTCCAACTTAGTGGTCAGAGCGGGAGTTGAACCCGCGACCTGCGGATTTCAAGTCCGGCGCCCTTACCACTCGGCCACGCTGCCGGCACTAAAATGTATGAATAATGATAATACCTCTATTTTGCGACCACCGTTCAAAGCATTTGATCATCCGCCCATGGAAGGGTACTGCTCTTGACGGAGAGACAGAATATCTAAAAGTTAAGGTGCAGTCTTCAGGGGTTTCATGAACTTGAACTTATATATCGCAACAAATACGTTACTTGATGTATCGGGGCATGCAGCGTATTTATAACCTTATGCTTCTAAAGAATACTGGTTTTTGTTTGAGAGGCGCCTCGCAACTCCAACAGAACTGATCTTCTATCGTAAATGATGGGATTATATTAAGTTGAGCTAAATTTTAATATTGATTATAATTTTTAACTTCAATGTTACTTTTCATCAGTTTCGCCGTGAGTGCAATTGAAAGCCTTTGTAAAGAATTAATGCAGCACGCTTGGACTTCCAATCCTGAATGGCTCTTGGCTGTACCACTTTTACATTTGTTACGAGGCGACTCGAAACCCTTTGAAGAGCCTAAATTGGAAGGATCTCCTGAACGCCTGACCTGGTGGGGAGCCCAGAAGCTCAAAATAAGAGAGTTTCAACGATCTAAGAAACAGTAAGAAATACGTTTATGTTATTTGCCGGCCTTGGTGGATCTCTATTGGGAGAAACAGTTTTTCCCAATACGGACCGACCAAGGCTGGCAAATAGGGTGTTCATTTTTATTTTTTAAGCTTTCAATCGGGTCCAATCGTGTTTCGAATCGACGGCATTCAAGGCGTCTTTCTGTTCTACTTCAGCGAAATGAAAGCTTCTGTCAAGGCTTCTTCGAATTCCAATCTGTCGACAAAGCATGACCTTCTCTCTCTGCTCTCCCCTCCCTCAGGATTAGTTTCTGAGCATGAGCAGATAGGCGTGCAAAAATTACGTATGCGCTACCGGATGTTCGTGATTTACCGATATCCGGTATTGGCTGCTACAGAGCCCTCCATTTCGCCGACCACGTGACCAAAAACCGGAGGTTCTGGGGACGAGAGTACTACTACCCACGCTCAAACACAATGCGCATGCTCAAACCACTGTCCACTAGCAACGCAGTTTCGTTATTTGTGGACAACTCGACAATTAATGGTTGCCGACAACAAAAGCAGTTTCTCTTGTCCAAAAGAGAAACTGCTTAGTCGTCGATAACCTATCGAGTTTGGACATTTGCATATTCTATGGGGTAATAGAAAGTTATTTTTTGGATCGCATCATCCAAAACAAACATGGCGTCGTGTGTCGTGGTTTTCTACTGAACGGTAAAATTTCGTACTTAGAACCAAAACACACCTTTAAAAATTTCAAAATGGTAAGGAATAGGCATCAAGAAGATTCGACCGATGGTAAAGAGGGTAATAATGGCTTCGAGTTGCAAGAAGGCTTAAATCAAAGGTCTCTCTGAACACATTTAAAACAAAACCATACCATGGAACACTGCAGACAAGTTTAAAATATAATGGACTTTCTCGTCTATGGTATGGAAATATCACTAGTTCAACCGAATGTATCGCTTATTAAATTAACATTCTCTTCTAGAGGAATTGTTTTGGTGTTACTTGAAAATACAAAAGCTGGCTTTTGGTTCTCAGCAGATGGACAACAACACGCATTTGGACAATACAAATTAAGAAACTTTTGGAGAACGTTTATTGAATATATCCAAGTCACTATTTTTCGTCAACGCGATTTTAAGGCCTTCACTTATTTATTTTTACGCAGCATTATAGTTATTAGCCTTACTGCTGCCGTTAGGTAAAGCTTGATTACTTCGCACTTTCCGTTCGAGACCCCTTGTTTAGTTGTAGATAACAATAATGACTAGTCTGTGGAGGCCCCAAACATTCTACTCGCGGAGCCAATCAACTGCCAATCAACTACCAATCAACTACCAATTAACCAAGCAAACAAAAGACGGAACGACCGCACAATTGAACAAAAAAAACCCCGGCAAACCAGACCAGTGCACACCAATGCACGATGGAGCAAATAACTAAGCAAACAAACAAAACGTTGAAATTCTTCAAAAGGGTAAACCTCTCTGTCGACAGTGATAAAGGTGACGTTTGTGTTCCTTTTTTTGTTCTAGGGATTTTTCGAGTGTGTGGCCTCGTCTGGCGTCAGCCTTTGAAGTTGACCGCTTGTTGAAAAGAACTTTTCTACATGCTATTCCTGTTTGGAAGCTACACGGCATCGTTTCAGCAAGAATGAACATCCACATCTCAGATGTATGCGTCGCGTTGGCCGAATTCTTTCCTCGTGGAGTTATGAACAAGGAAGAGGTTGTTAGATATGATCATTTAAACGTTGTTATAGCAACATAATGTACTAGATGCAAGTGAATATATGAAAGATCATAAAAAATATGCATGTTATACTAGATTTGTTCTGTTCTTTACATGCCTTCATGCAGAAGTTTGTAAACAGGCATGAAATAATTAGATTACAATATTTAGCCATTCACGTCCGTACCCCGGGTTTTGCAGAGCGCCAGTCATTTAAGCATCTGTTATATGCAGAATAAATGACGCCTTGTTGAAGTACTTGTCAACGGATTACAGTGTTATAATATATCCAAAACAAATTATACTTAACTTTTCTTGCATAGTGGTGTAGTCCTACTCGTTTCTAAATTTTGCGTTCTATTATATGTCTCTATTGTATTTTCCTTGTCTTTCTAAGAAAAATGGTATCGAGAACTGTCTTCAAGCCATGATCAACGTGTTGCACTCTGGGAATGAAACAAACAGGTGGGTTTACACAGCTTCCTTGAAAGTACGAAACTTTGTTGGGATATTAGCAATTAGCCATTACCATATACTTTAGATAAATGGGTTCACATTTTGCAATTTTGATGACCTCAGATTAAAACATACTGTAGATATGTGTTATTTTTCCGGCCGGGAGGTCCGTATTGGGAAAAATTGTGCCCGAGGTCTTGAGTATAGTAAGAAGACAGAGAGTACAGTTTTCCCCAGTATGGATCGACCTAGGCCAGCCAGTAACATGCATATTTTTTTCGCTGCGGTAGGTTGGTTTGCTAGTTTACAAATGGATATATTCACGCAACTTGGTCATTGGATTGGCGTACGTACCGTCTACAAACCATTCGTAGGAAAATCTTCGCAACTAGTGACAGATACTAGACACGAAGACATTTATTAAAGAACTTCAGTACAGATCCATTTCTAACTACTTAATATAAGTTGCACTGAGTTTCGAAGTTGCACTTCAAAAACGGTTTCTGTCAGATCAGACGTTGCGAATCGCTTGAAATCAGAATATCGAATGGAAGAAAGCGTGGAATTTCACAGAAATTATCTTAAATACAGAAACGATTTGAAGTAAACTCTGCTGACGTACTCGTTTTTTGCTTAAAATTGCGCGGCGAGAGAAGCACAGGACTACGCGCCATTAAAGCGCCAAGCTACAAACAACTAAACAACTCTTCCATTTGAATTTACTAACAGTGACTTTCCTTGCCATTTAAAAGTGAGGAGAGATAAATTTGCGTACATTGATTGTAGATTAATTGATGGAAGCGTATAAAAGCCAAAGCAATGACGGTTACCGATAATTCATTCACGAAAATAGGTCAACACTAGGATTCCGCCTGTTGTGAGCTTGCTAGAGGGGAAAGTTCCGCCCGCTCTCGGAACCAATCAGGTTGCAGGATTTGTTGAATTCCACAGACTCGCGTGTGGACTGAGGAAAAAAATTAAGAGTTATTATTGCTCATAAACGTTCTCGTTGAATCGGTGAAAGCGTTTCGATTTTGGCCAGTACATATTTTTACGTTCATTATTTCGCTACATGAACAACCCACTTCAAACCCCAACTACATCAGTAATAGACGTAAGGGGAAATCCACGGTAAGTAATTATATTATCTTTCCTTAGCTCCAAAGCAGAGGTTGCTGAATTTACCGTTTCTGCAAGTTTGAAGGTGACTGAGGTTTGTCTGGAGAATCTTACTGTCCGAGATGATATTGATCTCATCTGTCTCGCAATCAAACTACTATTTTCAAGCATCCAACAGTGGCAAAACGATGCAATAGACAGTCAAACAGACGACGAGGGAAACAAGACTGATGGAAGAGACTACCTGAAGGAAAAATACATATGTAGACTTTCGGGAAATGTCGTGAGCAAGCTCAAACGAGCACTATCTCCAGATATGCCAGAATATTACCGTAGCAATTTCCTTTCAAGGGAACTTGAGGTATGTATATTAATTAATGTAATAGTCATGTAAAATAGAGTGGCAGATATGGCTTTCCACAAGTTGCTCGGTAACTTTTTGGCAACTTCTTGTATTTCGAGCAACTTTTTTCATTTCGAGCAACTTTTTGCATTCTGAGCAGTTTCTAGTTTTCTATTAATTCTGAAAAATCGGAGCAGCTTTTAGTGCTTAAATTGGCCTTGCTTCCATAGTTCACAATGTTTCAGTAGACAATTTATTAATTTCTCGTGAAAAAGAAGCCAGTTCCTCCTCCCCCCTGGGGCAGATCATGGGTGCGAGATGCATACAGCCGGGCTGCTAGGTCATAATCGGTTTGCGCATGCATTACGAAAAGATTTCAAATTGAAAAATCTGGCAGACCCCAAATCTTCCGTCGTGTCCTGGAAAATCGCTCAAAACTAATTGTAATTTTTGATTCCGGTAATAATTCTCATAATGTCCTCATCATAGTGTTCTAAAAGTAGTTCGTGCGGGAGCAAAGGTACTTAGTCATAATTTTAGCTCTGTTTTGACCGAAAATGCAACAAAATGATAATGATAAACCATCGCCTTTAAAGCGACCATCAATGAGCGATTTCTCCAAAGAGAAATTGCAATTGTTCACCTTGTCAGACATATTTGTTTTTCTTGGCATTATTTACGATTTATATCTATTAGATCAGATGGATTATGATAAGTAGTCTGATCGAGGTCATTAAGTTTTCTTTTCGTCACGTGAAACATAAATGTGTTGTTATGGTACTGCGACTTGCATTGTTGAATCACTCCTTTTTTCCACCCTCCTTGGGTATTTCACATGGTATGATTATCATGATATGACGTTATCTCCTTGACTGTAAACGTAAACTGAAGTGATCAACCATCTCGTTTGTTTCTGCAACAGAATACTGATCAAATCCTAAAATTGACTTGTCTTGTCCTTTTTATTTAGCTCTGGAGTGTGTTTCTTAAAGTCTCGGATGGCACTCATGGATTTGAAGAGTACCGAAGATATCTAACAGAACAATTTGTGAAACGAGCAAAAAGGGTAATTAATTGATATTAACTATAAAGGCTCTAATGAAACAAATTACCGAAAGGTAGACGGATTTTTATCAAATCAAGAGGTAGCTTTTTGGTCTTTAAAATATTCGCTTAATATTAATTTGCTAGTCACAATTTGGTATGTGGCAACGAAACGTAAAATAATTTGGATTATTGACGGAAGGCGATACTACATTTTGCTACCTTGTTCGGTTGTAAATGCAGGTTGATGACTTCGATAGGTCTTTGGATCCAATTTCTTTTTATCTCCGTTTCAAAACGAGTCCTGGTGTAAATGGTGACTAGTTTTACTTCTATGCTTGTTTTCGTGCTAATCAAGTACTAGTTTACTGAAATGGTCTCGCACCAGAATTCCTTTTTACAAACAGAGGGAGAATGGAGCTCAGAAATGTCCTGCTTAGCAACCAGTAAACTGAAGGATGCCGCTTTGAGAATATTCTCGTGTAAACCCCAACATTATTCGACCCATGTTTTGACCGATCATGATACTGCTCTAACAAAAGTTTAGGGAGTTTCCATCAATTTTGAGAAAAATATTTAAGCATACCACGTTAAGTTGCATGTCGTTTTCAGTCGAATTCATTACTTTTCCAGGTAAAACAAACCTGCCTCGTGGAGATATTTTGTGAACTTAACCTGGAGGTATACGACAGAGCCATTGGAGAATCCATCAGCAAACTTGCGTTTGAAGCCGTGGAAAAGATAATACAGGTACATTAGTGCCAACATGTCAACCTGCTGATTGGAAAATCGGCATTTGAATTTACAGGATAACTAAATTCACATACTAGCATTTGCCACTTTCCCTAGTATGTTTTGACGCGAAAGCTTACCTTGATGACAAAAAAACATTGGTTTCTCTTATTTTTTTCCAGTCAGGACAGGGTGCAGACGCTGACCGTGCTTTCACGTCTTTACGAAGTTCTAGTTCTCGAGGTGACGCAGGAGCAGTAAAGTACGGGGAACTTTTGTCAATGTTGCTTACAAAATCGTGGCCAAAACCGTCTCAGTTGCAGAACAGGTTCGGCTTGGACCCTTGCACAGTGGAGTTTCTTCTCACCTGGAACCCGATGGCTGGATATTTCCAGTTCTTTGGTAACTAGATATGTTACTTTCTCATCCAGTACTCTGTCTAAAGACAATATTGATAATGCTTCCATAGTAGGGTGTGAGCTTCAATGAGCAGATAATGTCTAATTAACAATTTGATTACAAGCTGTAGATTTCTACGAGGTGATAGTTGATGAGGCCGAAGGGCGAATCAGCTATATATATTTATATATTACCTCTTAGAAATCGAGAGCGAATAATCTAATTGTTTCAGTGGAATTCTAACTGAAATTAACGCAAATAACGGTTTCCAATTATTTTTCTACACATTATTAAACTTTACGCTTTAACAAAATTGCTCGGGCTGAATTGTCATTGGAAATTTACAGTTTTTTACCCGCGCGCACCTTTTTCAATAATTTCAAGTTTTCATGTAAAGTCAAGGAACCGTTAATGTCCTTCTTTTAGTCTTCTCAGAAATTTCATTCTCCATTTACATCTTAACTTTCTTTCAAAACTTCGGAATGCCGGGAAAAAAAGAGGGAAAAAGACGCCGTTAACTTGCCGTAAACAAATATAAGTGAATTTTATTCAAAATGACGCGAACATTGTCAATAGCTTTTCTCGCTTTTTGATTGGCTACTTAAAAACGTCCATATAATTTCATTGGTTAAAAAGTTGACAGTTTTTAACAGCTGAAAGTTGAACTTGAAAGCTTGCGTAAATTAACATTTTACCATCTGTACTCTTATTGATGATA